AACAAATGTGGATAGGAAAACCACTTAAAAATAACATAAAATAAGCAGCCGCTTAGTAGATAACTCCCTAATTCCCATGGTATTAGCGAGCTATCTACCAAAACGCTGAAAGACCTAAATTGGTCACCTAAATTGGTCTTTCAGCCACATTTACTTAAAGATGACTTAGTATTCGTAAATTCATCCCCTACTCGCTATACCATGAGTAGGGGCGTGTCTAGTAAACAGTGAGCAGACAGTGTTTTGTTTTTTTAAGTGCGTCGGTTATTATGGATTTTGATTTGGCCTTTTTTGGGGCTGAAAAAAGAAGATTTTAGAAGAAAGAAAACATCAAATGGTAAGTTTTATTTTCTTTTTTAACAGGAACTTAGTTAATGCCCCCCCTCATTATTTTTAGGGTGAGGGGGGTAGGTAGGGGTTAGTTTTTTTTGGGAGGGGGAGACTAGGGGTTTGGGGACCCCTATTCACCTGGGGGGGGATTTTTATTTATGGCCCCCACCCACTGCTCAGGGGTGGGGGCCAAGGGGTAGGACATTAGGTCCCCCCCCTTATTGTTATTTAGGGCCCCCACACTCTGCGCAGGGGTGGGGGCTGGGGGGAGGACCTTAGGTCCCCCCCTTATTGTTATTTAGGGCCGCCGCGCAGGGGTGGGGGCTGGGTGAGAGGACATTAGGTCCCCCCCATTTTTTTATTTATGGCCCCCACCCACCGCTCAAGGGGTGGGGGCCAGGGGGGAAGACATTAGGTCCCCCCCAATTTTTATTTATTGCCCCCACCCACCGCTCATGAGTGGGGGCCAGGGGGGAGGACATTAGGTCCCCCCCCTATTGTTATTTAGGGCCCCCACCCTCTGCGCAGGGGTGGGGGCTGGGGGGAGGACATTAGGTTCCCCCCAATTTTTATTTATGGCCCCCACCCACCGATCAGGGGTGGGGGCCGAGAGGAGGACATTAGGTCCCCACCCAATTTTTATTTATTGCCCCCACCCACCGCTCATGAGTGGGGGCCAGGGGGGAGGACATTAGGTCCCCCCCCCAATTTTTATTTATTGCCCCCACCCACCGCTCATGAGTGGGGGCCAGGGGGAGGACATTAGGTCCCCCCCTATTGTTATTTAGGGCCCCCACCCACCGCGCAGAGGTGGGGGCCGGGGGGAGGACATTAGATCCCCCCCAATTTTTATTTATTGCCCCCACCCGCCGCACAGGGGTGGGGGCCGGGGGGAGGACAGTAGGTCCACCCCTTATTGTTATTTAGGGCCCCCACCCACCGCTCAGGGACAATAGGTCCCCCCACTTATTGGTATTTAGGGCCCCCATCCGCCGCAGCCATCCGCCGCAGCTCTCAACAAGAGCTAAGAGATGGGTTTTCTGTATGCCAAAGAAATGGAATAAAGAAATTATTTCCTATGTTCTCAATTAAGTTGGAAGTATGCCATAAGGAAAATCTGTATGGCCATTAACAAAAAATAACAGTATTCAGGCTCCCTTAGGAGGAAAAGTATAAGATGCTTTGCCACTTTAAGGTGATAGAAAGGTACACAAGCAATGGACCAAGTGTGCAGGGGAACCTATTAATGAGTGTAAGTTATCGTTTCCTTTAAAAAAAAAATTTAAATGGTTTTTAAAAAAAATTAAAAAAAGTAGTTTAACAGTTGAGAATACTCTATAGTTTCTACCTTTCAACTTCAAAACATGCCCTTTTATTCATAATAGCAAGGATTATCGATAACCAACAAAATTACTAGAGTTACCTACTTTCCTACTATTTCCCTGCTTGAGTACTTGGACCTACAAATTTATATTTCCTTATCAAATAATGGCAATTCATAATTTAGTGAATACATCTGCCCTTTTTTATGAATATGTCCCTTTGGAATTTCTAAGTCAGCCCTTCAAACTACACAGGGTCAGATTTGCATGTAGGATACCTGAAAGCACAAAATTCTAAGGAGCTCCCTGCTCCCCAACCCTAAATATGTCAGAAAAACGAAGAGTATAATGCATTTATTAACTGGACAGAGTATGCATAAGAACTACTTAAATATATATATATATATATATATATATATATATATATATATTCACATTTGACAACTGCATATGTATAAATGTATTTATTAGGGTAAAAGGGGTTACGTTTAGAGAGGTGTTCATGTCAGATTTAAATTACATAAGATGTTTGGTGTTAGGAAGATAAAGCTTGAGATGGGTTAAAGTGGTAGTATAAGGGCTATTTAGGATGATTGAGTTTAGGGCTAGAGTGGGGTTAAATTTAATTTTGGGATACATAAAGTGTTTTTTTCTAGGATGTGTTAACATAGGATTAGGGTAAATGGTTTATTTTCAGGTTTAGCTTTTGACTTCTGGAGTTTGAATGCTTATTTACAATATACTCATCATCCTTTGTCATCTGTAGACCAGTCAGATTAATGATATTAGGCCTATAGGAGGTGTTACACAATGTGAATCAGCTCCCCCTGCTCCTATTGCAAGGCATTTCCTGTGTGAGATGCTCCAAGTGGGTAGATGGGAAGTGATCCCTTCTACTTCCTGTCTAGCCTCCCACACTGACACTGGAGGAACTGCGTCAGCATTTAGTTTTACACCGTCTATAACTGTTCCTGCAGCTACTAGGGCTGACTTCACTACAGAGGACACTAGCAAAGGTTCCTGGTATTTATCTTTCCCTACCCCGGCCTAGTTATGCTCACAAAGGCACATTATGTGAAAATAGGCACCCCTAGGGGTCAGACGCCAGTAAGAAGGTATCCTAATGAGAAATGTAAAAAAGTGTCCTAATAGGAAATCCGGCCCTGCCTCTACACGGTATCACACACACAGTATACAAGATATCTATGTGGATTTATCTAATATTTGGCTAGTGACTGTTATCTTTCTAATCACTGCAAAAATCGTAAACAACTAGTACATCATCCGCACTTTATGCTTTGCAGTGCAGGGTTGCACATGTCCAACAGTTCAGACTTCCCAAACTAGAAGTTCCTGATTGGCGAAGCTACTTTCTGAGCAAGGCAAAAGTGACAATGAATGGGTTTAGGACAAATTTAATGCATGTTAAAAGCAAGTATATTTCTTCATCTATTATTTATTTATTTATTGTATTTTAATGTCTAATTAATGTGTATTTAAAATACTTTTGTATTTTAATATATTTCAATTAGAGTTGAGTGAACCAGGACTGTAAAGTTCGGGTTCGTACCAAACATTACGTTTTTTGGACCCCGAACCTGAACACTGACATATCAGTGTATGTTCGGGTTGGAGTTCGGTGTATTGCGATTTAATGGCGCATTTTGAAATGCTGTAGGGCAGCCAATCAACAAGCGTTTGACTCGTGAGCCCTTAGAAGCCATTACAGCCATGCCTACTAATGGCATGGCTGTGATTGGCCAGTGCAGCATGTGACCCAATTTTTAAATACTGCAATTTTTGTAGTGTTAAATAGTACATTTGCGTACTGCATTTCTTGCAGTCCAATAAAACACTTAAATACTACTTTTACATTGTTGGTTTAAAAAATCGAACTTTTTGGTGCTAAATAGTACATTTGCGGCCTGCGGTGCACTTCATATCTGAGAGTAAAATAGAACCGTCAAATACTGTGCTTACATTGCAGTTTTAAACATGTCAATTCTTTAGGTGCTAAAAAGTCAATTTGGTGTCTGCACTTCATATCTGAGAGTCAAATAGAACCGTCAAATACTGTGCTTACAGCGCAGTTTTAAAAATTCCAATTTCTTTTGCTGCTAAATAGTACATTTGCAGCCTGTGGTGCACTTCATATCTGAGAGTCAAATAGAACCGTCAAATACTGTGCTTACAGCGCAGTTTTAAACATTCAAATTCTTTAGGTGCTAAAAAGTAAATTTGGTGCCTGCAGTTCATATCTGAGAGTCAAATAGAACCGTCAAATACTGTGCTTACATTGCAGTTTTAAACATGTCAATTCTTTGGGTGCTAAAAAGTCAATTTGGTGTCTGCACTTCATTCTAAGAGTGAAATAGAACCGTCAAATACTCTGCTTACAGCGCATTTTTAATCATTCAAATTCTTTAGGTGCTAAATTGTACATTAGGGGCCTGCACTTCATATCTGAGAGTCAAATAGAACCGTCAAATACTGTGGTTACAGTGCATTTTTAAACATTCAAATTCTTTATGTGCTAAATTGTACATTTGGGGCCTGCACTTCATATCTGAGAGTCAAATAGAACCTTCAAATACTGTGGTTACAGCGCATTTTTAAACATTCAAATTCTTTAGGTGCTAAATTGTACATTTGGGGCCTGCACTTCATATCTGGGAGTCAAATAGAACCGTCAAACACTGTGCTTACAGCGCAGTTTTAAAAATTCAAATTTTTTGGCTGCTAAATAGTACATTTGGGGTGTGCATTTCATATCTGGTGTATGTGTGCAACACTGGCTAGTTACCGCTTCTCAAGAAAGTCTAAAGACTTTTTAAAAAAGGTAAATAGTAATAAGTGTTATTGTGATCGCTTCATATACATTTCTATATTGTGTAAAGACACAACTACAAAGTAAAAAACCAAACACCAAAACAACGTGGAATGAAGGTCATGCGAGTGATGTGTGCAGTTTGGAGGAAGAGGCACCAGCACAGCATAAGAGGGAGCAGGGTGCAAAAGCGGAGCGGCCGTCCCCTAGCGCTCATCGGCATGTATTATTTTTAGAATTCCCACAGTTATGCTAGTAACAGATGGAGCGATAAAAGGAACCATAACAGATTTAACAAGCCATTCACAGTTTCACATTCAGGGGGGCAGTCCGGTGACCGGGACCCAGACACTGTCTGGGCGACGGTCGGACGACTGGGACCCAGTATGCCTGATGTTGAAGTTAGGAGTCACAGTGTGGAATGGATAAGCAGGGTCTAGTGCAGGGTAACCCACGCCCTCAATGTTTGTGCGGCCACATACGAGGACCCTGATGCAGCTTCAGCGAGCAGCAGCAGGCGATAGTGGAGTTTCAGCTGCAGCACAAACAGGTCAGTTACTCTGCACCAGACTTGCCCTCCAATTGATCCAAGTTAAAGGATTTAAAGTGGACTCATTACAATCAGAGGGCCTCGAAAGAGTAGTTTATTTGTCGTCACTACCTCCCTGCGTCGGGAGTGGGTAATTTGCTTCCTTGCATGTGGTAGCTGTTTCTCAGGCTCCCTCTCTGGAATCGAACCCTGATTCCCCTTTACCCGTGGTCACCATCGTAGGCGCGGAAAATAGCATCAAAAGTTGACATCCGAATGTGTTGTCGCCGTCACGGGGACGTGCTATCGGCACGAGGTTCTCACAGACAAGCACAGCCGCCTGTCCACGGTCAACGTGAACAAGCTCATGTTTATTAAAATGAACCAGGCATGGATCCCACCAGACTTGTCTGTACCTTGTGCAGAATAGACATTTATACCAGCCTCACCCAGCCATTGTTATACTCAAGTGCACTTATTCTTTTTTTTCTTTTTTTATATGTCCCAATATTTTGGGGGCTACCCCAATAAAAAAAATAAAAATAAAATAAAAAACAGTGTTGGCTACCTCCTCCACTTCCGCTGCCGCTTCCACCTACACCACCATGGTGTATACCCAGATATATCAGAGCTGCTGCAGAAAGTGCAGGCCATCTGTGGGCGCTTTTGGTGTTCGCACCCTGCTGCTGCTCGCCTGTCTGCACTGCAGCGAAACTTCGGCCTTCCCGCTCACCGCCTCATATGCGAACTCCACCTTGCACATGCTGGAACTCCACCTTGCACTTGCTGGAGAGAGTGTGCGAGCAGCAGCAGACGATAGCGGAATTTCAGCTGCAGCACTCACGGGTCAGTCACTCTGCGGAACAGCACCACTTCACCACCAATGAGTGGGCCTCCATGCGAGACCTGATGTTGCGCTGTTTCGAGGACTCCACTAACTTGGCCAGTGCCGATGACGCCGTTCTCAGCCTTACTATCCCGCTTCTATGTCTCCTTGAAAAAACGCTTTGGGCAATGATGGAAGAGGATGTGGCACAGGAGGAAGAGGAAGAAGAAGAGGGGACATTTCCACGCTTATCAGACCAGTCATTCACAATTGGCTCGGAGGGTGGGTTCCTGCACCAGAATAGGCCAGGTACACAATTGTCCAGCATCTCCACACTGTCCCATGGAATCGTTCAGCTGTCCATCTCCCAAACACTGGAGAGAAAGAGGAAGTACCCACCTACCCACCCGCGATTCCTGGCCCTGAGTGCCAGCATTTCAAAATTCCTGGCCTTTGAAATGCTGTCATTCCGTCTGGTAGAGATGGACAATTTTAAAAACCTGATGGCATTAAGGAAAACGAAGTAAAATGGGGATAAGAGTAGGACAAGTGCCTTGCAAACAAATGTGGACAAGGAAATTACTTAAAATAACATAAAAATTAAAAATACAGCTGAGCCATAAAATAGCACTAGATGGAATCTTTGGAAGAACATAAATCAAAATCTAAAGCATGACTGTCAGGAGGATCACCAGAATTATCCATTTGAGAGAGGGTTGGAGTGCAGGGTATTCTCTTTCATTGTTCAAACTGAGCTCAACTCCTGATGCATGAAGAAAAGGCCTTCACAAGCCTCTGCTAATTTGTACATAGTTTATACTAAGTGACCCATAGGTTGAGGAGGTGGTGACCATGGCGATGTAGGTGGAATCAGCGGTGGAGGAGGAGGAGGTAGCCAACACTGTTTTTTATATATATCTATTTTTTATTTTAATTGTGATAGCCCCCAAAATATTGGGACATATAAAAAAAGAAACACTTGTGGCCTGCGGTGCATTTCTTGCAATCCTGATGAGAAATGCTCAACTCCTGATGCATGGAGAAAAGGCCTTCACAAGCCTCTGTTTATATTAAGTGACCCATAGGTTGAGAAGGCGGTGACCGTGGCGGTGTAGGTGGAAAAGGAGGAGGTAGCCAACACTGTTTTTTTTTTTTTTATTGGGGTAGCCCCCAAAATATTGGGACATATAAAAAAAGAAAACTCTGTTCCACAGAGTGACTGATCCGTGCGTGCTGCAACTGAAACTCCAATATCACCTTGTTTTTTTATTTAAAAAAAAATTTTTTTTTGGGGTAGCCCCCAAAATATTGGGACATATAAAAAAAGAAAAAAAAGAATAAGTGCACTTGAGTATAACAATGGCTGGGTGAGGCCGGTATAAATGTCTATTCTGCACAAGCTACAGACAAGTCTTGTGGGATCCATGCCTGGTTCATTTTAATAAACGTGAGCTTGTCCACATTGGCTGTGGACAGGCGTCTGCGCTTGTCTGTGATAACGCCCCCTGCGGTGCTAAACACACGTTCAGACAATACACTGGCTGCAGGGCAGGCAAGCACCTCCAAGGCATAAAGGGCAAGCTCAGGCCATGTGCCCAATTTGGAGATCCAGAAGTTGAATGGGGCAGACCCATCAGTCAGTACGTGTAGGCGTGTGCACACGTACTGTTCCACCATGTTGCTGAAATGCTGCCTCCTGCTAAGACGTTCCATATCAGATGGTGGTGCTGGTTGTTGTGGTGTGCTGACAAAGCTTTTCCACATTTTGGCCATGCTAACCCTGCCTTCTGAGGTGCTAGCGGTACCCCAGCTGCGTTGGCGACCTCTTCCTCCTCCTTTTTGCCTTGTGCTTCCACTGAGCCCCCGGTGTCAGTTGGGAATGCCCTCAGCAGCGCGTCTACCAGTGTGCGCTTGTAGTGGCGCATCTTCCGATCACGCTCCAGTGAGGGAATTAAGGACGACACGTTGTCCTTGTAATGGGGATCCAGCAGGGTGGCCACCAAGTAATCAGTACAAGTTAGAATGTGTGCAACTCGGCAGTCATTGCACAGGCACTGCAGCATGTAGTCGTTCATGTGTGCCAGGCTGCCCAGAGGCAAGGACAAGCTGTCCTCTGTGGGAGGTGTATCGTCTGTGTCCTCCGTATCCCCCCAGCCATGCTCCAGTGATGCCCACGAGCTGCGTTGGATGCCTCCCTGCTTGTGAACATGGTTCCTCCTCCTCCTCATCATCTTCATCATCCTCCTCCTCATCCTCCATAACTGTGCCCTGGCTGGGCAATTGTGTACCTGGCCTATGCTGGTGCAGGAACCCACCCTCCAAGCCACTTGTGAATGACTGTCCTGATAACTGTGGAAATTACCCCTCTTCCACCTCCTCTTCCTCCTCCTCTTCCTCCTGTGCCACATCCTCTTCCATCATCGCCCGAAGCGTTTTTTCAAGGAGACATAGAAGCGAGATAGTAAGGCTGAGAACGGCGTCATCGGCACTGGCCATGTTGGTGGAGTACTCGAAACAGTGCAAAATGGCACACAGGTCTCGCATGGAGGCCCACTCATTGGTGGTGAAGTGGTGCTGTTCCGCAGAGCGACTGACCTGTGTGTGCTGCATCTGAAACTCCCCTATTGCCTGCTGCTGCTCGCACAGTCTCTCCAACATATGCAAGGTGGAGTTCCACCTTGTGGGCACGTCGCATATGAGGCAGTAAGCGGGAAGCCCGAAGTTACGCTGCAGCACAGACAGGCGAGCAGCAGCATGGTGAGAACGCCAAAAACACGCACAGACGGCCCGCACTTTCTACAGCAGCTCTGATATATCTGGGTAGTTTTTCAGGAATTTCTGCACCACCAAATTCAGCACATGTGCCAGGCAAGGGATGTGCGTCAAACCGGCTAGGCCCAGAGCTGCTACAAGATTTCGCCCATTATCGCACACCACCAGGCCGGGCTTGAAGCTCAGTGGCAACAACCACTCATCGGTCTGTTGTTCCATGCCCGTCCACAGCTCCTGCGCGGTGTGGGTTTTTCCCCCCAAACATATCAGTTTTAAAACAGCCTGCTGTCGTTTCCCCCTGGCTGTGCTGAAGTTGGTGGTGAAGGTGTTACGCTGCCCGGATGAGGTGGTGGTAAAGGAGGAGGAAGCGGAGTAGGAGGAGGAGGCAACAGGAGGCAAAGATAAATGCCATGCAATCCTCGGTGGCGGAAGGACACGCGCCAAACTGATATCCGCATCAGGCCCAACCGCCACTACATTTGTCCAGTGTGCAGTCAGGGAGATATAGCGTCTCTGCCCGTGCTTACTGGTCCACGTATCTGTGGTTATGTGAACCATGCCACTAATGGAGTTGCGCAGTGCACACCTGATTTTGTCCGCCAATTGGTTGTGCAGGGAAGGGATGGCTCGCCTGGAAAAGTAGTGGCGGCTGGGAACCATGTACTGTGGGACAGCCACCGCCATCAGATTTTTAAAACTGTCCGTCTCCACCAGACGGAATGACAGCATTTCAAAGGCCACGAATTTTGAAATGCTGGCATTCAGGGCCAGGGATTGTGTACTTCCTCTTTCTCTACAGTGTTTGGGAGATGGACAGCTGAACGCTTCCATGGTACAGTGTGGAGATGCTTGGGGACGGTGGCGGACATGGTAGCGTTGCTGCCACATTCTCTGTTTGCAGGGTGGCAGGTGCCACTGTCACTCCAGAGGTGGAGGAAGAGGCCGAGACAGCAGCAGAAGAGAAAGCAGGAGACCTTTCTTGGTTTTTGATGTGCTTACTCCACTGCAGCTCGTGCTTTGCATGTAGATGCCTGGCCATGCAGGTTGTGCTCAGGTTTAGCACGTTTATGCCTCGCTTCAGGCTCTGATTGCACAGCGTGCAAACCACTCGTGTCTTGTCGTCAGCACATTGTCTGAAGAACTGCCACGCCAGAGAACTCCTTGGAGCTGGCTTTGGTGTGCTCAGTCCCTGGGTGCGGTGGGCAGTAACAGGTGTGCCGTCTAGGGGACGGCCGCTCCGCTTTTGCACCCTGCTCCCTCTTATGCTGTGCTGGTGCCTCTGTGCAACCACTGCCTCTTCCTCCAAACTGCACAGGTCACTCTCATGACCTTCATTCCATGTGGGGTCTAGGACCTCATCATCCTCCACATCATCTTCCATCCACTCCTGAACCCTGCCCTTCTTGCCGGTCTGCACACTGCCGAAAGCCACAGCAGTTGGTACCTGTGTTTCGTCATCATCAGAGACATGCTGCGTCTCTATAAACCTTTATTGCACAGTGTGTTTAATTTAGAATTGTGTATCTACTGCTATGTTAATAGCTTTCTAAAGCCTACAGGATCCTTATCTGTTAAATTAGCAGAGAATGAGGTAACAACTCCTAAAGTAAGTAAGATCTACATTTTTTTTTCATGAAAGCTGTCAGAGAATTATATCAAATAATTGAGCAGTGAGACTGCAGGGGCATGATCTATACATCAAAACTGCTTCATAAAACAAAAGTTCTTTTGGTGCCTATAGTGTCCTTTTAAATATGCAAAGTTTAACAGTTTACGGGCAATGCTTGTGGAGAGGGGTGGGATCAAATGGCAGGGTTGTAGCCTAATGATCCACTATCTGTACTTCATAAGCTACCACTGGTTGTAGCATACTTTCTCTCTCTCTCCTCTAAGATGCACATTTTCAATTTAGAATACATTCTTAATGTGTATTTACTTACGAGTGAGAATCTGTA